ATTTACCATTTACACTTTTCTCCAATAAAGCATGGTAAATTGCCCACCGTTCAACGTCAGTTAGGATCCTGTTCTTTCTCCCTTGAACATTTCCTATTAAAATAGTGATAACCAAATTAATATAGAGAACCAAGCAATGAAACTAGATATACCATGCAGTCAATTAGAGTATTGTTTACTCACATGGAAGTGAAGTAACGAATTTTTTTTTGTACTAAATTTTAGCAAGTGAAGTAACAAAATAGAGTAACTAAATTTTTCTGTACTCACATGGAACATTGCAGTCAGTTAGGAGTATTGTTTACAGTTCGAAAGTGAATAAAATAGAAAATGTAAATTTAATTAAAGTAGAGTTTGTAAGATCATTGTATGATCAGAGTTGGCTTGTCTGTTGATGACTTTGGCTTGACTAGTCAGTTTCCTACCAGAGTGTTCTATAAAATTAAAAATGGAAATTTTGATTCATTTTAACAATTCCACTTATAAGGCTATGTTATTATGTGTACGGATTACATAATATGACTGCATGCCTAGTGTGTTTGAATTATTTACATTAAGTCATAAGAATGGACATGAAAAAAGATTGTAAATTTAGTTACTTAACATCAAACTAATTGTTTCTATCTTGTAAGATCTCACACTCTTTTTTATTTAACTTTTCTTGCAATTTCAAATGGAAACACATAACTAGATTGGAGACAACAACTCAACGTAACAAAAAAAAGCAAACTAAGAAGAATAACAATCATATTATGCAACACAAACAACCTTTTGCACGAAAAATTATACCAATGGCTTCATTTACCAATAACATTTTGATTTAAACATTTCCTCAAATGGCTTCAAACATTTTGATTTAAGTATACCAATAACAATCTTTTGCATGAAAAATTTACCATAATGCAGCAGAAACTGAGCAATCATGGAATATTTGATATCAATAATAACCTTATGGTAATTTGGAGAAAATAACAATATCAACCAAGCAGAAAAAAGTTGATATCAATAAAACTCACCTTGGCTTGTTTCCCTTGTTTCACCATTGCGGCCGTCAAACTCGTTGAAAATCTCTTGTCCACCCGATATTACGTGTCCTTGAACTACACCTTCTCTATTTCCTTCTCCACCATTGGCTTGTTGGCTAACTATCTCTTCCACGGATGATTCGGACCTCGCTTCGTCATCATCTTCGAAAATCTGATTTAAATCGAGCTCGATAACGTGGTATCCAATTTCCGGTCTTTCGTCGGCATTTAGCTCGACTATAATGTTTTGTGAAGATATCGAGACATCATTTTCTACGTCATAAGGAGGTTCATTCAAATCGATCGAAATGTTTGAAGCCATTACAAATTTTTATTGGTATAATGAACCTATCCATATTTATAGTCATTTTTAGGTGCTGCTCACAAAATTTGAAATGTTGAAGGTGAATTTTGAGTTTACCTCCTTATCAAAAATTTGGCTCCAAATATGTAAGTCATTGAAGAAAATTTTGTAAGTCACCAATTATGGTTTATTGAAAATTTGGCTCCAAAATTTGTCCTCTGTTACATATTTTTGCTCTGTATTGTGAACTCAAAGTTTGAAAAGAAAAAAACGTGGAAGACGAAGGGTTTTTCCACCCATATAAGTTATTTTTCCTTTATCTTTTTACTGTTTTAATGGCCATTAATTAATGTTAATTATTCATNTGAATAAGGGTAATATAGGCAACCAAAAAAATTCTTAATACCTGTGCGAATGTCCAGAACGACAAATATATTGAACAGGAGGGAGTATAGATTACTGTAACAGCTAGTTTATAGTATATTTAAAGCAGTGATTTGAGACTGACTTTATGTGTGTGATATAAATATGAGAAATGCTGCATTGTCAACCTAGTGTACAACTAGGTTGACAACACAAGTAAAAAACATCACAAAAGTAAAAATAAAAAAATAAACAAGTGGACGTTTCCGCTTATGTTGTCAATCTAGTTGTACACTAGGTTGGCTATGTATCATTTTTTTTTATAAATATTTACTAATACGACACCCGTGTACTACACGGGTTGTTTGAAAAAAAAATATAAAACATAAAATAATAGAAAAAACACATGTTATTGTATAACTATTTCAACTCATTAAAATATATTAGTGTATTTATATAGATATTCTAAAAAATTTACATAATTTATATAAATAAAATAATATATAAAACTAAATTTTTTATTTTAGTATTTTGTGAATTAAGTCTAATTTTTTTATTATAATATTAAGCAAAAAAATCATATTTATTTTGGTATTGTGTGAAATACGTCTAAATTTTTAATTATAATATTAAGTAAAAAATCCTATTTACACGGCATATTTACACATAAAATTAGTTTTATTTTATGAAACAATTTTTCTTTTTCTTTGGTGGAGAATATGCTCTTACCCTTTATGCCCCTTAGCCCCCACTTAGGTAGTGAGTTTGTGTGCGTGTAGGTACTTTTTTGTGTGTGGAGTAAAAGGCTTATATATATTTTTGTTGACTCATTATTTTCCTTTTTNACAATAACTTTTTTATATAGTTTAAATTAAAAAAAATACTATAATTTTATAAATAGGATTCTTATAAGTCGTGTAAATCCTCCAACTCTAAATTAAATAGGATTCTTTATCTTATAAGACTTCCCAAATAAATAGGTTATATGCCGTGTAAATCCTCCAACTCCAAATTCTTATCATATAAAGCTTACTTGACAACATTAGTATTCTTATCTTATCGTGTAAACCAAAATAAATCCTCCTACTCCAAATTCTTATCATATAAAGCTTACTTGATAACATTGCATCTTAGGATTCTTATCTTGTCATGTAAACCAAAAT